GGACAGCATTGGCATGTTACAGCGTTGTCACATCTCGTCCCTGCTCAAGTCCAATCATGGCCAAGCCAAGATCGCACCACGAAAAGAGAAGGCCTGAGTGGTTCTTGCCCCTGTTGCACCCCTATGCGAGCTCTTGGCTTCAGTCCCAACCATTTTCTTGGCAAACCCCCCTCAGAAAGCACCACTGGTCAATTGACTTCCTTTGAACCGGGTGAGTTGTCTTCAGACAAAGTTTTGCCGGGTGAGTGTACCGTTTAGCACGGTTTACCTAGAAAAAAAAGGCGCTGGAACGGCGAACGGTCAACCCCCACTTTCCACGACACACGTCACATGTGCTTCACCTTTGCGCACATTCCAATCAATGGGTGCTATCTACAATTTTTCTACCAACCAAATCACCTGTGCGCCATCTCGCTTTTATCATACTGCAGATGTGTTTGTACATTGCATGTCCGGTTATGAGCTCCAGGATCTCAAACACACGTGTCTCGGACGCCGGTACCGCGGTCCGTCCGAGGCACTTCGCTGACCATGACGCCGCGCGTCTCGTCCACTTGATCGAACAGGAAACCGAGCTTGGCGTCCGCTTTGGAGACCTTGACCTGTGGCAGATGGGGAAAACCCTCGGATTCACGAGAATTGCTTAGAAGTAGACGCTGGATGGATAAACCCTCCATATATGAAGAGGTTCTTCTATCCCAATGGGGTGGGTTGATCAATTAAGAGTCGACAATTCGTGCTGACTGACCACAGTACAAAAGGCTTTTCTGTGGCGTCAGGTCCGCCCGGTCCGCCGCTGAGACGCTGCGTCTTGGGATCCAATGCAAACGTTCCAAGAGAGCTTGAACAGCCTATCCGGGCGCCCATCCCATATGTACCACAGACCAGGGTCTTAGTTCAGGTCTCTCAAGCTCTCGTGGTTCGGGGAATCAAACATCGATTCCAAGAACTTGGAGCCATCTACATGCGAATTTTGTCAACATGAGCTACAGCTGCAGGTATCGCAGGGTTTTGGACTCAGCGAAAGTGCATGAATGTCTGATGTAGCAAGTGTAGAAGCAAACTTGCCAGCCGCAAAGAATCAGCAAGAACCTTCCATTGTGATTGGACAGTTAACTCTCAGCGAACAAATTGATGTGGCACTCACTGCTGTTCCAGGCAGCCTTTGAACTGTGTCTATCTGCGTCTGGGACACATTGTGACAATCAATGCTGAAAGGGCAGTATTAACCCAACATAACCCAAGAAACACTGCACGCCAAGATGGGGGTTCTCCAAACACATCTGGAGCCTGTGCTTATGTAACCCCCAACCCCTTTTTGAACCTTTGCTGCCTTTGAAGCCCTAAACTTTGGGCCAAGCTGGAGCCTTCCCACTTTCCAGGCAAGAAGAAGTAGCGATCACCCGGCCCTGGGCGAAGATCACCGGGCCCCGGCTCCGGCTCCACCCATCCGTACGCCTCAAAAGGTCCAGGTCCCAGCGGAGTGGTGTCCTGAGCGACGCGCGCGCTTTTGGGACGACACCACGGAAGAGCGACGCGATGGAATGACGCCAGGTGTTGGGAACCACAGAGCTTTGCATTCTACTAGTAACAAGGACGCTACTAGGGGAAGCAATCGCTACTAGTAGCAAGAAGCTACTGCTTTTCTATTAATTTGTACACCTTAATGTAGAGAAATATATATGGCAGTCCCATGGGTCGTGTCTGGGTTAGGGTCATGTTCATTGATTCATGGGGCTGTTTGGTATGTAACTATTTCCAGGTCCCATTCGTCTGGTCTTGGACCATGCTTCTTCCATTGGCGATGGCCGCTCCATGCTCTCTCACCCGCTGTTCACGGTGGGGTGTCCGTGTCCGGGCCAGCAAAAGGCCTTGAGAAGTGGGGGAGCCGTCCTGAAGGTGAGGAAGTTGGTCACTTGGAAGTTGGTCACTTGGTCCCAAATGCCTATTTTATGACATGTTATGGCACGGCGTAAATATTGCATGCACGTGACTATATTTATGGATGGGGGTAAGGCTTCCCAGCCACGTGCATGCGTGTGGTCTATGGTTTTGCCCTTCATTTTGCGATGTCTCTCGAAGAAAGGAGTAATGGAGACGGGTGTCCTTCTTTGTCCTCTCTCTTTCGAGTGGATGCTTTCTCATTGGAAGATGCCGCATTGACTCAATTGTTCACAACCGGGGATGTGAAAACACGCCCGGGAAAACAAGGAACAAGTACCCTAGGGGTCCAAGTACCTAGGGCTCCAAGTACCTAGGGCTCCAAGTACCTCCTCAGAAGGTATTTGGACCCTCTATAATTATAAACCCACCCCAGTCCCACCTTCTTAGAAGCTACGACTGGAGCCCTAGGGATACGTATTGGACCCCCCCTGGCACCCACCACATGGATCCAACTTCCCAGGATCCAAGGACCGGAGCCCCGACGGGTCTTTTTTCGTTCGATCAAGTGTCTTCCTCTTTGGGCTTCTCTGCTTCCTTCTCCTCAGCAGAAGACCCACACGACCACTTAGCCAAAAGACATGTGGGGTGAAGTTCCAAGAAGAGTTCCACTAGTCACTAGACTCCCTGAAATCATGGAGTACCGGCCAGTGGTGTGGTTTCACCACCCTGGCACGCCAGGTCTGAGTCTCGTTGTTCATGGCCTCCTTGCCTCGTCCTTGCCTCTTCCTTCGGCCCAAGACTCCATCGTCCGGGAGTGTAGATGGCCGGCCCAAATCGGCTTCGGACTCTCTATGAGACCCAGGACCCATGGTCTTCCTCTCTCTGACGTTCAAAGACCAGGACACAGCATCTACGTTCATTGGATCGCAGGACCATCCGTCGGCGGGGGGGTAATCAGACTGGGAATGCGGTCGCCTCGTTCGTAATAGGCACGTCTGCTCCACCCTGCTGGTCGTTTCCGCCAAAGGGCGCCATTGGTGGAAAGCATTAAATCAATCAATATAAATCAACTCATGGGAGCGGCTTCGGAAAAACACATCTGTATACTGTATACCAACAATCACCAACATCACTCTATAGCTGGATGCAAGGAGGACGGCGAAACGATATCTAATTCTAAAACCATCGCTAGATGGAAGTCCAACTCGCAATCTGGCACTCAAGCCAGCCCTGTCTTCTGCAAAACCAATTGAACCTTGAGACAAAGGAGGTTTACCTGTACATCAGTTGGATGGGATACTTCCCAAAGAAGTTCCATTTTTATCTATGTTTGACATCACAGTTGGACTCACAGGTGCTACCAGCCCCTTAAATAACAGCTCCATACCTCACCTTCAGCCCCTTAAATACCAGCTCCCTCACCTTTCCCTTTCCAAAGCACCTTCAAACTGACCACATGCCCAAATTCCACTCCAATTCCGTTGAACCATTTGGAATCATTTGGATATACACCCGGGAAGATTAACATAGAACCTGAAAACCACTGGGTTGTATATATATATAGAGGAAAGTAGGCTTCCAAAGGTCCATTTTCAGGTTCCATGTGGGTCTCTTCCCGGGTGTAATTGGATGGATGTTGGGGATGATGGCCAAGCTATTCCCAATTCCAAGCCTCCACCTTGGCGGGCACGGCCGGAACGGCCAGTTCCAGCTCGGCCCCTGCGGTGGCGTCTTCTGCGGCACAGCACCACATGTCGTCCGAGTCGAGGGCAGGAGGCCTTGAAGCGGAGACTGCCGTGGAGCTTAAGAAGATGCCAATAGCTTAAGAAGGGGTTGGGCGAGAAATTGGGGCAGTCACTTGCTAATGTATACAAATCGCCAGATGAACACCGAACCAATGACATTTTCGGTTGGTCTGTCTGCTCTACCCCGTCTCTCCAGCTTTGATCAATAATCTGGAATAGGTCGGATAGGTGGTGTCAACGACTTACCTCGGCACGTTCGACCGTCGCCCTTTTGGATCCAACGACGCCGGCGACTGGATGCTGGTGACTGAGCGCTCCTTCCGCTAGATGATCACCTTTTGATGGACATCACTTCTTGATGTCAACTCTTGATTGATGACCTCCCCCAAGCCTGAAGAGGCTTTAAAACCCACATTTGGGGCTAGAGGGTGTATTAACCAAAAGTTACCTTACAACAATACTCAACAAGGATCGCTCTCGAACCCCAGGTTCATATAGAGACTCAGGCTGTTGGCAAGGCCACACCACTCGAAAATTTGGGTCTGACATGGGATTACATGGGGGCAACTCTTGCACAATATGTTTTTTCGACATACAGTACATACCCCTCAACAAAAGACGTCACCCCAAAACCCCACTCTCCACGCCGCACTCCTTGCTGACTTAGGGCCAGTGGCAATCGCGCGAAGTCCAGGTGAAAGTCACTTCCAAAGAGGCGACAAAGCTGGTTTGGGGAGCCGAAACGAAAGCAGAAGTGGTCGCATTGGCTCAAGTGATCACAAAGACCTCAAGCTGTTGGTCCATGACACTATCATCGGGGTTTTAGATGATGGATACGGTGCTGTTTTCGCCGCCACAGGGCAAACACATAAATATAACAAATCAAGTCACCCACCACGGAGCACAGTGTGCCACAGACTTCTGCATCCACCATTGAAGGATGGAGTTTATAGCATCGATGGTGTCCAAAGAGTGAAACAGTGGCTTCACGACATCTGAAGCTACGCCCTAGCCCTAGAAGAGAAGCACATGGAACCTGAAAAGTATTGGGTTGTAGTCGTAGAGGAAAATTGTCTTCAGGTTCCATGTGAATCTTCAAGGGTGCAACTCTTGCTTCACAAAACAGAACTGGACCACTTGACCAAGCAAACACCACCCAAGTCACCATGTTTCAGGGACCCAATCACTACCCCAGGAAAACCATCATCTTGCTTTGCAAATCACACCATGCTCAACAAAATACATATAAATCAATCGATCAACTCCCCCCAAGACTGGAGATATGACCCACCCTCCAACCAAAACCCTGGGGGAGGGGGGTTCTTCAAAACTCTCTCAGAATCCCTCCACCCCTCATCTGAGCCCTCCAGGCTCTTCAGCATCCGCTGGATCGTGGGCACCAGAGCGCCATAGCCCTCGTGAGGCGCCAACAGGTGCCTCTCCGCCGGACCCTCCAACACGCCACTGAGTACCTGATCCGTGGATCGCAGGTGCAGAAAACACACTCGAACCATGCAGCTGTTGTTAATGGACACGCCTTGGAACTGCTAAGGGGCTATAAATAGACACCTTTTGTGGGTCCTGGATGGGATCTATTGTGTGATCTGTTCTCTTTTTCCTGCGGTGTCGACCAGAACATGTTCTGACTAATCTTTACTCCACCGGGGTTAGAATCTACCAGCACCATAGGGGCAAAATGAGTGACTCTCAGGGAAGAGGTGCGGAAATCGAAGATCGAAAGCGAGTCAATTGGAGTTCTAGAGCCTCTGCAAAGCCTCTGGTTGATGGAACAGGGAACTCTTAAGCAGGTCAGGTTGCACGATGCACGTGTTCTTGGCTGATTCCTGCCTCAACATGAACTCTCATTTCAACCCCTAAGTAGACCACAAAACTGTGCCACAGAACTTGTTGTCCGTCCACCCAAGTGGTCGACCTGCAAATGTTGTAGCTTCTCTTTCCACTTCTCCATGGAAGGCACAGCGCTAATACACCAACCTGGCCCAGTCGCCAATGAATCGATCTGACAAGTGGCTGGGTGACTGGTTGTCTCTATTTGAGCGAAGCTGCAAATGAACTGGGAGTCCTTTAAGAGCACATCCTATCCATGGCAACTTCACATACTCCCGACACCTCTTGGGCCCGTACATCTCTATCCCGCGCGAGCCTAGGACCATAGAATGCTACAAAGATTGTTCAGACCAACTCCTTCAGGACGAGGAAGACCTGTCTCCTTTTTGATTGTCTAACAGGCTAAAATCTGACATCTCAGGAACAAAAGCGATCGAGCCAACAAAGCTATCTGGCCAAGTTTGCTTCAACACTGGCTGGTCCAAAAGGCTCATTTCATAATACAGTACCGCAATCAAAAAGTTCCGGAAGAAAGCAGCACCATCCAACATCCAAACATAATCAAACAGCGTTGTCCAAACATCCGCTGCTACCCGCAGGTACCCGCGACAGCTTTTTGAAGGCATCAGTTCTTCGGCTCGGCTCGGTCTATCCGAACCGCGCGGAGCAACGGCGCGCGCCGGAGGGGCTTCGCGTCTTCATCCAGCCTTTGGGGAGCTTCTTGAAGGGGTCCACCTTCTCGAAGAGATCATCTGGAGCCGATGTCGCTCGGCTCTCCGGGTGTTCCCTCCCGCACCCCCAGTCAGAGGGCGCGTCCGGTCTGGCACGGTCGGACTACTCTAGGTCGGTCTCATCGGTCGGTGTGGCGGTCCATGAAGCACAACACGCACCTTCAGGTGGTTGAAGAGGGGTCGAGTCAATGCGCGGGCGGCCCCGCGAAACGACACGGAGTGTCTAATGATAGCTCCGTTTCGGGGTGATTCGGGGTATCCATGAAGCACCCCTGGCTCCCGGGGGCCCTGGTGTTGGTACGCTTGTAGGTACATCTTCCAGTCCGTCTGGGAGTGTCTGGGTGACGTTCCCTCAGTCATTGGATTCCGGTCGTGCATGGGTTGTCAGCATGGCTGGGGCATCTGATTGAGCGTGATTTCTGAAGATCCCAAGTAACCTGCCAAGAATCCACGCGTTAACATATATGAGTGGAGAAGAATCCAAGATCAAAGAAGCAATCTGTGCGACTAAACCATATCAGTGTCCCACGCCTAACAGCTAACCCCAAATCTTCGGGAGCTTTGATCAATCCCAGCAACCAAGTGCACGAAAGCATTTGCCATATGGCTTTCTGATGCTTCGTGGCAGGTTCCCGTGACTATCCCACTGCTTGGGGCTGACGCTAACTGACTTGGAAGCCAACCCAAACAGCAGGTAGCATACAGCTACTCCTTCCTCCCAGAACGATTTTCCTGCTCCAAGACCCAGAAAGTGTCTACACCACATCCAACCGCAACATGTATTATCATACATGTCCACGGCCGAGGGTGTCTCACGTTACATAAAGAAACAATTGCTTATATTGGGTATTATATCCTATTGCCAGTAACAGTGGATGATGATGGTTAGTAAAGGCCTTGTTCAAAATAGTTATAAACTGTTACAATTGTTATATTATTAGGCAGCATTAGGACAAACCCAATGGCTTGTATGGCTTTCAGTTTTGACACTCCCCACCCAAGCTACTGATTTTGGTCGGCACCCCGCCTGCTTTCTCCGCAGGTTTGGAGCTTGATCTGGCACCATCGCCATGTTGGGCTGCCGCGTCGCCTGGTCGAATTGGAGGAGCTTAGGGGCAAAACGCTTGAAGCAGCTACAGCTATTGGTCACACCAGAAGCCTACCAAAAGGATAGTAAAGTAATATATAAAACAATCAAATAATCATATCGATACGTACAGCAATTCTTCCGTGCTAGTGAGCCGGAGGGTCCACAAAGGAATCCAAGGACACATCCAACTCCATCAAAAGACAGCAAAACACAGGCTGAACCCTAGTCGCAGGCCAATGCCTTCTAAACAAGCGGTTGAAAGTTCAGAGCAGCTTGCATCACAATAGCTAAGGCCTCTGAACACATATAGTGCTTATGTCTTGATCATAGAATCACCTCTTTGGATAGAGCTAATTAATGATGAATGCAGCATATCCAAAGAGGTGAGGATGCTCCGTGATTTCGCGCAACCTCGATGAATGGCACATGGCACTTTGTCAAGAACGACATGGGTCTTGCAGGGGTCTACAAAAAGGCACAAGGCTTTGTTAGGCTTTGTTAGTTAAGGAGACCCCGCAGGGTCAGGGAGGCCCCTTAGAACATGCCATGTGTTTTCCGCTGCCAGCACCTCGATAGCAGCGGATGGGCTTCGACTTCTGTTCACCTCCTGCAGCTTCCAATCTCTTGGCCACCTGGCAACCCAGCAGGTACTCAGAATTCTGAGCGGCACAAAGCCTCAAAGGGTGGTTTATAAGTTTATATCCAATGATTGGGGACACAGAAGCCTAGACAGGGGCGTACCACGTAGCAAGTGATCAAGCCATACCCAAATCCTCCATGTATTCCATGCATTACATGTATGAAAGTATGGCCGACGTGAGGAGGTTCTTGGTGGTGAATGTAGTTTATTTTTTTCCAAAAGCTACGTCTACGTGTGGCTTGGCCATACTGACTCAAATGAAAAGGAAGATTGCCCGTCTTCCAAGCCTGGCCGAAGCCTGGCCGCTGAAGACCCCTTTAGCCATGACACGTATGTAGAGCTGCCATGAAAATTCTGTGTGATCTGGTTGCCAAATGAGTCAACACCATCCTGCAGTCCTCTCACCGTTTCGCTACATTTAAATGTTGAAGACAAGGTTGCTAAACACAAAGACATGTCTTCAATTGGGATGTCTAGTAGCAGCAGTAGCAGTAGCAGTAGCAGCAGCAGCAGTATAATATTATAGTATAGTTGCAACTCTGCAATCTGCTGGAGAAGATTCCCATTGTCAAATAACTATCGGATAAAAAAACACATGCAAGCATAACACAGCTCTCACGTCAGAGGTGACACGCCACATAGCCGCACAACTGCTCACACGCACACGCAGCCACTCCACCCAAAGCCGAAGCAAATAAGCAACACCGGATACACCGGATACCGTACACCCTCTACCCTCTACCCGGGTCGCGTTTCCATGGTAAACACCCCGCCTCCTTTTTCTGTGGCTCGTCCATGGGAGAAATCAAATCGCCAATGTCTCCGAGCCACGCCGCCATCTCAATGGCTACGCCTCGGCCATCCCATCGACCCGCTCGATCAAGCCAACTATTTATATAATTTCAATATTAAACATCACCTGCTTGATCGCCGAAGGTTCCAAGGACACCCAGCAGAATCGGTGGAGACCAACATATACCAAACCTCCGCAACAAGTTCGATAGGATCTGTTGGTGGCAATCAGGTCGAAGTCAATGCCCCATCTGCAACAATGGTATACGCACATATATCAGCCTCATTCAAAAAGCCTGCAGTCAAATTTTCTAGGGGCCATCTTCCTCAGTCAGGGCCATCTCTCCGTGATTCTCAGCCGTCCGAGCCAACCTGGAGCAGCTCAGCTCCCTTGGCCATCTCTCCGCGCTGCGAACGAACACGCCCCCGGCCGAGCGGCTGTAGCATGCCTCGCGGATGCCCCGGTCGCTATCGGAGACGTACTTCAAGACGAAGCCTGCAGAGGGAGGGAGGTTGGGGGAGGGGGAGGTAGAGGTTGGTGCCACCCAAACCGAGGTTGTTGGAGTTTGGGACAAGAGTCGAGGGGGGGGTTGCTTTGCAACAAGAGTGGTGTTTGGTCTAGAGTCTAGAGCTAGCTTGCAAAGAAAACACCTAAGATCCCACCGTCTAAGACCCCAAAACATCCAAACACGTTCCAAAGTCGGATTGGACTTGGCCGAAGGGCTTAGACATGAAACATGTTCATGTACTTTATGAATGCGGCTGGGGGTACCACGCTTCTTGTGTTTATCTTTTCGCTGGTGACCATACTGCTCACTTCAAAGGATTCAGCTTGTCCTACGCTTATGACCTCATAATCATGACCTTCACAACCAGAAACATGTTGGAGGGAGTGTTGGAGGGTGGTTTGCCGCTTGTCATTTCAGTCCCCTTCATCCCTTAAAATTGAGCACACCAAAAGCTAAGTGGAACAAAAATACCAAATCAAAACCATCAATCAAGAACATCTCCAGCTCTACTGTCAAGTAGGAGTAGAGGCTCTACTCCTACTTGATCCTACGCCCCAAAGCAAAGTACATTTCAGCCCAAGTGGCTCAAATAACCCAGCTTCGGTGGCATCTTCTTGATGCCAAAGTCTCCCAGCAACTGGCCTAGGCACCGAAATGAAGATTGAGGGTCCAAAAAAGGCAAGCTTCGAACAACACAGAGAAGGAGAGGAGGAGAGGAGGAGAGGAGAGGAGCAAGGCAGCTAACATCAAATCTAACAACCCTCCTGGTCAAACATGGTCAAACCACATCGGATGGGCTGAACCATGGAACCATATGCTACCTGATGGAACCTGACAACCTGATGGAACCGTGGGCTGTGGGTGAATCATTCATTTGGTGAATAGGATGAATCACCGAACCGGATCAAACCCAAGCTTGGTGAATTCAATTCCAAAATCCATGGCAGCCATGGGCAAAACCCGGGCCTCATTCTCCAACGAAATGCAGGGGTCCCGAAAAGTCTTCTCTCTATCTCTTTGCAGGTCGCAACTTGCCACATCATACACAGCGGCTAGAAAGAACGATCATCTCTATTAGATTTGCGCTTCAGAACTCGTGGGCAGGGTACTTCATGTACTTTTGAGCCCACGTGATTGGGACAAGAACCTGAGAAACCTGTATTAGTTATGTTGAGCTGAATGAAGCTTGGCATTGAAATTGCAAAAATAGTAGCTGTATGGTGCCCAGGTGCTGATGAGTTTGATGATGAAGGCGATCTGCTTCTTTAAGAACCCAGTGGACTTCTTCCTTGGCCGAGAAAGGACCCAGTCTGGCGCCACAGCTGTGCGTCCAAACATCCGCTCTTAGACTCTAAGCAGGCGCCCGCCCGCTGTTTCCGGCAACGGTTCCCGGAATCCCTTGGCCAGGACGGTGCAACAAATTCAGGTGTGAAGTGAATCTTCAGTGAAGACATGTCGGGATTCATCAGGACTTCTTATGATGTGGAAGACTTCCAAAGATCCCTAAACCCAAGAGACCTGTTTGGATTTGGGATCCCTACACTGCTTTTTTGACTCTCCTCTCTTTACCATGGCTCTATAACCGGCGAAAACTGTTCAGACATGAATGCTGCATGTACTCATATCATGAGAATCTTACTATTGAGTGGAGCTTGCTCAAAAAACATTGAGCACGTAGATTCAAACTAAAAGGAGCATAAAGGAGCTATATACTTTGTGTGTTCAGGGGCCCCTGTCCCTGTTGGCAGGTATCCCGGTATTATCCCTTGATAGAGAACCTCATGCACCCAAACATCTGACTATAGTACAAACTGCCAACCCAAAACCATTATGGCAACTCACCAGCAAAAAACCATCCGAAAATCGCATGCGAGAGTGATCGTCAACTTCTGGCAATTCCCGCCCACAGCAGGCCAGGCCCTGACTGACGACCACCCAAATACCCCCTGCAGATTCACATGGACCTTCCAAACCACCCCAGGTAGGCCAATATGGCAAGTGCCCTGAGTCGCGTCTGGGCACTAGGTCGGTTGGTCTTCGGGTTGGTCCAACCCAACCCAGGGGGTCGACGTCCACGGGCCGGTCTCGTCGACTCCTCGTCCCTTCCGAGGCTCTTGGAATCGTCCAGCTCATTGAGGCAATTCGTGAGCTCTTGCAACACAGCGGGGCACTCCTTAGGCCGTGACGTTTTCGATGCGGACAAGTACGATGCACTGTATGATGCCCAATGCCCATGAGGTTCGGTGACGTTTTCGATGGCCACCCCAACCCACTTGACTTGCAAACATCCGAAGACCCTGACAGGTGGTGGTACACTCCGCTTTCATGGTGATGTCCAGTCCCCTATAGGGATCCAAGTACCCTCTCAGGTTCGGTACGACTGGACCCTCCTGGCACCTACATAAGAGTTCATAAACACATCACCGTACCTGAGGTTCGGTACGGTTCGGTACCACTGGTTGATTCTAAGGGAGTGCATCTCATCCTTCAATGCACCCAGCTCGTTGGATCGTTTGGGTCGTCACATCCTCCACGGTCGTCAGCTCCACGAAGCCTTCGCTCCGAGGCCGGAGTGGTCAGCTCGAAGGGCGACTTCGTCGGGAGGAAGGAACAACGCTTCTGAGGCTGGGCGATCATTGAAAACTCTTTGGGCCTGAACCAACAACACCAACAACAACGACAACAACACCAACAACAACGACAACAACCACAACGACAACAACAACAACAACAACAACGACAATAACAACAACCACGACAACGACAACGACAACAACAACACCACCTCTTAGGTTACGAATGCCCTGCCCGACCTCACTTTTTCGCCTCGCTCGCGCGGCGCGGATGCGATGGTCAGCCCAGTGTCCGCAATCTCGGCGATCAGAAGGACCACCGAAGGCGCCAGCTGCTGCATCTTGGGCTTGTCGATGGCCTGCACCGGACGTGGGCCATTCTCGTTTTGGCATGCGTTGAGTGGTAGAATCAGCTGGTTTCAAGCCCAAAATACATACTGCACTCACTGCACTCCCCTCAATATGAAGTGGTGATACGATATGCAGCAGGATTCTCTCTGAACATGAATTTTGCCGTGGCAGGTAGCAACATCTAGCACATACATGCTGTCCTTAAATAACGAGTTCTTCTTTTCAGTTGAGGACTTCACAGATGAAGTCCTCCGTCTTCACAGATGAAGTCCTCCGTCTTCACAGGAAAACGCCAGCATTTGGTCCAAAGCCAAAATCAACCAATGAACTTCCACATATATAATGTATCAGTTGTTGATTTTGACACCTCTCCAGGCTTGGGAGGGTTGATTTCATCAACAGTGTATACATTAGCTCCTCCAAAGAAATCCTCTAAAGAAATCTACAATCTTGAAGAGGAATTTCCTCCATTCTCCTTCATTCCCATGGAACATATGGAACAATGTTGCATTGTTGCTGGCATTTCTTCCCTCACCCCACCGCCATTTCATCTCTACATGCCTTGTGCTCCGTCAACTTCCTGACCTCAGCTGAGTCCCAGGTTTCAGTGCCCACCAAGCCCAAGCCCTGAAGGGGTCCTTGAACAAACAATACAGATACAGGAATCATCTGAGCTGCAGTTCCCTACAAAAGCTCAGTAGATGGACCCCATCAGATCAAGATCGGTGGTCGGGGGAGGGAGTCCCTATCCGACGTGTTTGGCTGTCTCGGGAGATTGTACCGCGACTACCGAGCCCAAAAAACTTTGCCCTAAGAATCCTTGGGCCTCAGGCCAGACCCTCCATATCAGGACCGGAACCAAACCCTTCCCAATGGGTTCGGGTCGGATTCTGAAAGGGTGACACAAATGTGGACTTAGACTTCCTTCATGAGCCCTTCGCCCTTCCCCGCGAGCCCTTCCTCGTGCCCTTGAAGCGGTCCATCATGACCCAACGAGAGCGGATTGCAGTGCAAGCAGCCCAGGGGAGCACGGTCTTAGCTTCAAGACCGGGGCAGTGCTTCAAGTAGGCGGCCACAGCCTTGGCACTGTACCCATGGGAGCACTAGGCATTTTTGTTCCTTTCAAACGACCAACGGCAGCCCTGGACAAGTGACTATGGGACTTGATTGAATGTGTTTCTACAAGCTCATCTTCGTGTCCCGAAACCAAGTCCCTTCTCCCAACCTGCTGCCGCCTGCTTCTTGGGGAAATTGCGACAGGGCGCACACCCCAAAAGTCTTTACAAACCAGGACCATCCATGCGGGGTGTCCAATAGACTACCTTACACTACTTAGAGATCTCCATTGGACACCCTTCGGATGGTCTAGGTATGCTTCGAATGGGTGGATCTGCTCCCGCCAGGTTCCTGCACAGGTTCGTGCGGCTAAAACCTGCCAGCGACTGGAGCCCAACTTGTGAGTCTGCCTAAAAACCGCTCCACTCCTCGACAGGCGTGATAGAAACGCCTTTCAAGACTTATGCTGTTCCACATGGCTGGAATGTACTCTTGATTCTTGATCAATCTGTTTGCAGTTCACTACTTCGGGGAAAACAACATAGATCAGAACTCAATTTCAGGTGCTATTTAACATGGACCACTGGAAACGGTATCAGCATGTCTTAGCGCTATTTTTGGCCATTTCCGACACTCGCTAACATGGACCATGAAAACACTCTCAGTCTATGATCGATTCTGACACTACTGCAATCTGACTATACACAGAACGCCGGCTAACATAGAACATGCCAAATGCCCGTATGGCCCATCATGGCCGAATTTGGTCTAGGTTAGTCTCAATGGAGTCCGCTCCGAAACTAGGCTGACATATGCCACGAGCTCTTTTTTGCTGCTTTCTCCCGTGTAGGTATATACTAATGCATGAGTGGTCAAGACTCAGACTCAGCATGAAAATCCCTGGATCAAAGGTCTTGCGACCACGAATCGTGACCTCAGCCCCTTCCGGACTTGATCAAGGCACGTTCAAGGCGGCGTCCTGGCCCTGGTTCCGTGCTGCAAAGAGGTCAACTAGGCTGTCTCGGTTTTGACCCATCGCTGAGTGAATAAAGGTACATTAAGGCATGAAACTGGAACATGTACCCTTCGCTTCAGTTAGGATTCAATCAAGGAGGGTCTGTCATGGGTTCTCTATCACCTGATGATGTTTGATGTATCGAGGCTCCGAACCAGATTCTACAAAAGGCTTCAACAAATCAGTTCCTCGTTTCCCGAGCAAGACCGCCACACCACCACTCCATCTATGGCGGGTTTGTCCAGTCCCTTCGGTGCGGCCTTGGGGAGGCTTTCGGCCAAGGCCATGTCGACAGAGGCACCACAAAGGGCCCAAAGCTCCGTGTCCGCGTTTCCGGCATCCATCTTGGCCTGCCCGGTGCGTGGCTTGCGAAGGGGCCCGGGCCCATGTCGAAACGATGAAACGATCGATGGTCGAGACGGCGGCGGGTTTTCCGGTGAAGGTCCATGAGAGATGGGTTTTGAAGAGTGCCATACTTACAAAGCATTCTGCTGAGGTGTGGAATGAGGTCTGTTCTACTGTGAAAATGAGCAGGTGTGCAATCATGTCCTGCTACAGATGCTTTGGCCATATGCCAACCTGCCTGCTTCTTTCATCAGAACACTCACTGACATTCAGTGACTTCCCATCCCAAGCGTGGAACAAATAACCAAACGGAACTTTCCAGGAGTCACCAAGGGGTGCCCACAGCCTCCACTCACGTAATAGCGGATTCACTCAAGCCACCCTGTAATTAACTCATGGTTCCATTCAACTCGTCTCCCCACATCTCTTCACGTCCGTGAGTCATCCCAAAGCCAAGCTCAGGTCCCGGTCCAGTCCCCGGACCCAATGGACCCAAACAGGCTCCCACCGTTCCGGTGGAAGGGCGTGTATGGACTTAGTCGTCTTCCCAAGTCCTTTTTTCCAAGAAATAACTGCCATGGCCATAGCTTAGAGGACTTCGAGTTCTGAAGTTCTGAAGGGACGGCAGGTATCCTACTTCTTGTTCTCCTTTCCGAAGCACGGCAACACATCGAAGAGCCGTGAAACGGCGGTGGATGGGCATCGAACAGCTTCCACGATTCTCCGAGGCCAGGGGCCGCCCAGAGGGGGCCAAGACAAAACGCTGTGGTGAACATAGGAAAATGAGATCCAGCAGGTGCTGAGCAGTTCCAAGATGTTCCAAGTAATTAATTGTGGTGCTTCTGGTACAGAGCGAGCGGGCGAGAGAGAGAGAGAGAGCGAGCGCGAGAGAGAAACACGCGCACACACACACACACAAATACACACTTCTCAGCAGTTGGCACCCTTCCCAAAGCCCAGCAGCTTGGGTTAATTACCCGTGCGACCAATTAAAAACTTGCAAGCCTGTTCTAGCAGTGGCACAACATTATCCGTCAACCGGTTGCAGTATATTATATAATTATATAACAAGTTATGTTCTGCTGCATATATGGGCTGTTGATGGCCTTCAACGTGAAACATGTGTTGGATTGCTATGGGACGGAAATTAAGCTGATAAAAGTTCAAAGTATGTTGCCTTTAGACTCAAAAAATTGTTGCACGGTGACAAGTGGTTTATCTGCTTTCATCAGGGCAAGCAGCGCCCTCCAAGAAAATTACTTGCTCATGCTCCACTCTCCGCAGCGCGCACACACAAACATGCCTCCAACACCAACAGGCACCACAGTGGCCGTGCCATTTCAGTGTGACTTCATCAGGGTCATAACTTGGGTATATCCTAATCCACTGTCACAATGGATAATGATGGTATAGTTAGTAAAGGCTTTTCTCTAGAATCATAACTATACTCACAACTAACTGTGTACCGACTGTTGCAGGTCATGGGACCAACTCAAGTCATAATGATCTCTCTCATGCCATCCTGACCCCTTCATGAACCAGTGCCCAGGCGACCCCCACCGAACGTACCGCGTGCGGCCGCACGCGCCTGTAGCTCCGCGTAGGCACTGCAACGGCGTGCCAAGTCACGTGCGTGCAGCCGCTCAGCCAGCGGCTCGGAGGAGAAGTCCTGATCGTCGAACCGGAGGAGACGACCAAAACAAGAGGGTCGAGGGTGAAGGGTCTCAGTCTTGGGGGCGGGAGACAGTTTTTTTCTTGATCATCTCATGCTCCCTTGATTCGGGTCATGAGAAGAAGGAGTGAAAACAACAAAACCATGATGAAATTGAATAAACACTCAGGCCACCCCAGATTTTGTGTCCAACCTCCACTTCCAGTCCTCCACCTCAGCATGCTCTGGCACGGGCGCGCTAAAACCGCTGCTGGTGAGTGCAGGGCCCGCCACCTTAGCGGAGATCGCCCAGGGCAATGTGGAGGCCTTGATAGCCATAGCTTTAAGCAAGGGCATCTGAAACCACTGGCAAAAGGACCAATGGACTCAAGAGACCCCAAAAAAACAAAGCAACCTGTGGGTTCTAGGGTCTTTCCTTCTTGAGCCGTAATTATCCACAAATATTGAAGGCTCCAATCCTGTCCCCATGAATATTCTATGTTCAGGTGTTGCCACTCTAAGAAAAACACGAAGCTTTCCCACTATACGGCAGGGTCGATTCAGCTTTCCCCCGCTGGAGGTGGTAAACTTGCCAACCTGGATCCTCAAAGCTGCCATATCTGCCGATCAGTTGGAGTGGTGCCAGGGGGGTCAATGGGGCGGCATATATGACAGTCCCAAACAGGTCGTGTCTGGGGTAGTGTGACCAAAAGAACACATCAAACATCAGTGGCACCCCTCCAGGATCACCATGGATTGAAGAGGTGGCCTGGAAGAGGACAACTCCAAGAACTGGGTCGTGAACGGGTGGGGGGTGGCTGGGTGAACGCTTGACATGTTTGGTGGGAATTGAACGAGGCTTGAAATGAGGCTTGCAATGACCGAAAAAGAGATCAAATGAGATACGTGTTGTATCCTGTTGTTCTTGATGAGGCAAACCGTGTGGATGAAAACAACATGAACGTGCCGGTCTCGGCGGCGATGTTTGACCTCCATGTTGGCTTGAAGCGGAAAAACAAAAAAACAACCTCAGGACCCCAACTGGAGCATCTGGCATATTGGTCTCGACCTGGCCATCGATGCGATGGGATGGCACCTGACAAGATTTTTCCCTATAGACTAACATCGACCCTGAAAACCACGGTGTGTACAGGAACCTTGTCTTCCAAAGGTCTATTTGAGGGTCTCTGTCACTGTTAGTTCTAGGAAGGATATATATATATATACATATGCATATATATATATATATTCAAGGATCTCACAAGAAGGGTGCAACCATAAATTATGCAACAGCAACTGCAGGTACACTGTGCGGTTTCCTGCAACAGTCCATGAATGCCGCGGGAGGTCAATTGCTTGTTATATAGACGTAGTTTCTGTATATTATGTATCGTTCATGCCCCTTTTGATTAAATCAAAAAAAAGCTGGATGCATTGGAGTTTGGAAAAATATCAATTGTCATTCCCACTCCTCTAGGTGTTTGGCAGTCACTGTCTGATCAGTTGGGTACTTGAGGTACTTGGAAGCGTTTAACGCATAAATGGATGCACAAATACCATGGCGAAGCCAATTCATCATGTGTTATCAACATGTAAGTCAACATGTAGATGTGTTAAGACTGTGAAGCAAAATCATGGAGTCTTCAAGTGGAAAGACCTGGGCTTTCCACTTGCACTGGCAAAGTGCAAATTTCATTGCTGCCAAACAACAGAGCCGTCCGGCCTTCTCACTCACCACACGTTCCACTGTCACATCAGCCATGCCCGTCCTGGGCAGTCCAATGGGAACGCTTCCTCCTCCCTGTGCAGGTAGGTGATATGATCGTGAATCGTGATACATGTCTCATGTGTCAACGAAGAGGAACATTGAGAGCATGCAGAGAACATCCAACGATGGCGTGTAGTGAGCCTGCTGAAGACAAACCTCTTAGCAGCTCTATAGCCGAAGGCGTAGAGTCTCGCGTGCAGCTCTACCTGCTCTTTGGTTCATTCATAGTCTTCTTGGGCCACATCTTGTTTATTATTGCTTCATCAATCATCCAATCCATGTAAAAGCATGTAACATATCGGCCGGATGATTGCTCCCCCTGGTGAACAATGCCGCCCATCAACTGCAAGTGATGACATCCCTGCTTCCATGCCACCTGACCAACAAGAATTACATGTCTGGATTTCAATATCCAACTGCAACACCTGGTAAGGCATCAATTGATATAGGGCTTTCGAGGGTTGACGCCCTCAACCCATCCGATACATGGCCTGTCAAGCCTCCAGAGTCTACATAAGAAAATCATATGAAGGTAAACTGCAAACTCTTGATGCAAAACCTTTGATTAGATGTCATTCGTCAAAGAGTCTACAGTCGGTTTCGCATCCCTGTCTATGGCCCGAAACCCAGCTGCCGATGAGGCGCAAGGAGCCTTGCTCCCAGAGTGGCTCAGGTGCCAACTCCATGCCCGGATTCCCCGAGCCAACAGCTTCGACGGAGAGAGTTGGAGCGAGCGCGCTCGAAGCGAGTGGGGTCCAGGTGGGGCCTAGCCAAGGGTTTTGTTTTTACGGCAAGTGCAAGAGTTTTTGTTGATGGTCAATGACGTGAATGGATCTTGCATGCCCCAAACCAATCTAGATTCTAGATGAGGCTAAAATTGAACTTCATCAACAAGACATGTGTACTGAAGATGAGGATAGATCGGAATCAGAATAGTTACCAGTTACAGTAGTTTTATGCAGTTTTAATAACAAACAACATTAAGCACTTATAACATATTATAACATCTATATCAAACATGTACCTTTCCTTGGGGTCTAGTATCCGCACCTGGCGACTCCTGTCTAAACATGTGTCAACCGGTTCGTCTCATGCCGACCCGAATGGACTTTCACGCCTGGCGGCCGAGAACGACACCCGGGAACGTGGAATCGCTCAGTGGACTGGACGTGGATCCAAGCGAAAGACGGGCAAAAAAACCTCTTCGACCCTCCGACCCTTGATCCACAGGCAGTTGGCCTGTCATGCCTGCGAATCCAGAGGTGTGATGCAAGAGACGGAACGTGGTGGAATCCGGCCGTAGACCCGCAGCTTTTTTGCTGCGGATCATCGACAGATCGTGTGGATCATCCGAACCAAACACCAGGTTGATCATCCGAACTCTCTTCCCCACACTGCAAAGCCATTGCTACCCACACGTTGGTGAATCAAACTGCTAGGCTTAAGTCACTCGTCATATTGAGTCATCGCGGTCAAACGAAAGGCTGATTAGATAGCATGACATCTGCCAAGCCGCTGAAGAAACCAAATCTGCGGCAACCTTCTCGGCTCGTTAGACAGAAAGGGTGCCTCATGTAGAATCTTGATGAACAAAGCCCCCATCATTTTGGATTTCAAGCCCTCTTCATAATGTGCAAATGGGAAGTTTGATTCATTGACCGTCACCAGTCTACCTTCGAATCTGATCTCCGAAAACAAAAACATCCAAAAACCATTCGTGACATCGAAATTGAGAGGAAACTTCGATCACGGTCGAAATGGAGGGAGCGCCGCTTATCGATGTTGTGTCCCTCTCCCTCCTTGCTCCTCCTTGCTCGCACCGGCCTTGGCCCCAAAAACCCGGTCGACCGGGGATGTCGCGGCCCGAATGCCTATGAGTGCCTATATATAGTCTCAAACATGAGCTGTTTGAGAATTTGATGCGGACAAATGCACATTGGGTATGAGTAGCTAAAAGGCTACCTACCAAACTTGTAGGAAGGTGTTCATCTAGGACACCTCTTGTACGATGTGCCGGAAGGTGAAAGTGCAAATCAAATGGGGAGGGCTGGATACTACCATGGCTTGAGTGGCAACGAGCATCGAAGCTCCCAGTATGTTCACTGTTCGCGGCCAAACACCACAAGGGCAACATGTCGGATCTTGACCAACCCCACCGAGCCGGAGTGTCTTTGACCATTTCGGCTCCAAGAATCAGGATGAATCAGGTACCCCTTGCAGTTGCACCTACTACTTTTTCTGTGAACATCAACAGGGGAAATGGACTTTCTCAAGACCATGTTCCTCTGCAAGGGGTGCATTTCCATGTCTGTTGACGAGCAATGGATACCAAAGGCGTGGTCTGTTTGGAGAAATGGCGACATTGCTCGCTTTGCCCCTGTTGTTGATGGTTGATTTTCAAAAGCCACCCTGTACTTGGATAGCATTTGAATGCGGTTGACCGCGGCCTTTTGCCCGAATCAACCGTCAAGACGACTCGTCAAGCAGGGTTTGCTGCCAACAACTGCCACATCTGGAGCTCCGGATGGTATTTGGGAATGGTATGGAGGGGGTGTTTCTTCCATCAACTCTCAACGTGACGTTGTTCGTTTGTTCAAAGTTCCACCAGCCTTTGGCCAAAGGCGCTGAAGCGCCAGCGCGTTTGCGGCCCAGCTGGGCTTCGCCATAGCGGGCCCAGAGCGGAAAAGCTGGAGCAAGTGAGGGCAGCACAAACGTGTGAATATGGTCCAAACAGATCGCAACGGTTTCCAATACACGTTTCTATCGATTTTGGGGTCTATAAAGCCTATGGAACTTGCCATGAGCACGCCATACCAACCGTTTCATTGGCTCCATGCTGTTGAAATGGTGTGTTGTGATACGGTGTCTGGTCGTCTAAAAATCATGCTCATACGTGCTGATAAATGCGCAGAATTCTATTGGGACTCGTGAAAGGGTCTATTTGATGAACGCGCGGTTCTCAAAGAATGGATTCTAAGATTTCAGAGTATATAGATGGCTCAGTCGGGGCCAGTGTCTCATCACTGAACAATACAACGGGATCAATCCTGATCAATCACGGGCCTGGGGCCCTGGGGCCTTCTTCAGTTCCAGTCTCGCTGGGCTGGAACATGCGTGCAACAAAAGAGTACCTGAGTACCAAGTGCCTGGAAAGCCGTTTCTCCCTGATTTCTCCCTGAACTTCTCACTGCATCTTAAGAGAGGCTCCAAAAATCAAAGGGCCCTTCTTTCACATCGTCCACTGGGCTGAGCTGGAACTTCATATATAAGCTCCGTGCTCAGCACCAGCCGCTGTTCGGTGCAAACCAACCGGGTTGGAGCACCGTCGACGACCATCGCTGCGCTTGCTTCCACCGCTGGAAGAGCAGCGCTTCGGGTCTAAGGAAGACCATGAAATCCGAAGACATCTAAGACCAATTTCAGGTGATGCCCATCCATGTATCATGATGCCCTCAGTGGAGTCGATGAGTCTAGGGCCTATGGTCCTAAAAACATCTAACATCGAGAGGCTTAGTAATTGTTAAAAGCACAGGACGTTCCATCACAGATTCAAACATCATGTTGTTCCATGATGAGCCACGTTCGACATCACGATGTGTCTGGGAAGACCAGTCTTCAACACCCTCGACCCGCGCGCCTCGATCCGTCTCATCGGGTCCTGTGGAGCAATTGAGACGGAGAAGTGGGTCGGATGTCCAGACTGAGCCTTGCAGCGTATGTATGTAATATATATATATATATTATATTATATATATATGGCATTGGGGTTGACCGAACGTGAACAGAATAGACGACCGGTGGGGGTTCAACCTACCAAGGATTGGGGACCCGGGTTTTGACACACAGCCATGCATAGACTGTAAGTAGCGTAAGCCACATGTTTTATTCAAACGCGGCCAAAGCAAGCGGTCATGCTACGGAATGGTGCGATCTACGTTCAGCGCGGTCGCCATACATTGAGCAGTAATTGAACTAGCCAGGGTTGGGAACTCCCTGTAGCTCCGAACACCTCCCAGCTTAATGGGGAACAAAACGGAATATGGATACTCCCAGCGACCCTCAGTCGCTCAGCACCAGCTATAGTCAATATTTAAACAATTGAGGTTTTGGGTCAGTTGACTGACCTATTAACTTGGTTGCACACCGATGAAAAGCGGACAAAAGTGGCTGGCTGCAGCAATTCAACAAGTCAAGAACGGAATCTTTCAGTTCTGGCTTTTCTGCTAACCACCTTAAAGCCAATGAACTACCAAAAGCAAACCATCGTTGCCTTTGTGGAGGAATCAATATATCAGAACCGTGCGAAAGTCTGCTATGCTACTGCCTCTTTAAGGAATCTCTATCTACTTGATGTGGAAGCACGGAGAAGAATATGCACAAACAGTAGGCCAGGAGGTCAGCACAAACAATAAGCTTGTTGACACAAGCTGATACGAGAAGTGGGAGTCCACAACCTGATACGGAGAAAGTGGACTCCACAACATTCAACAAGCATCAAGGGCAGTGTTCCAAAACAAATCCAAAACATTTCACAAGCAGCAAAGGCATGTCCTTTCAATCTTTTGGGGCAATTAGTGGGCCGCAGGCCGCAGGGCACAAAACATAACCGGCGACTGTTCGACATGATGCCGCCATGGTGCAGGGTGTTGTACAAGTACATCCGAGGTGTTTTGGAACACTCTTCCAACAGTAGTCCAGCAATCCCCGGTCGCCTCCAATGATCAGAACGATTGACCGACCTGTTAACCTGTAAAACAAGGGTTGTTTGATGTTGCTTGGTCAAAAATAAGAACGTGAAATCCATGCGTTCTTGGATATGGCTGGAATCCCCCCCCAAAACAAAAATACAAAACACGAACAGAAACTGGAGACCCAGTCCAACCCCTGATCTCGATCTACCGCCAGCCTCACGCGATGGTCGCTTCTCTCGTGTTGACTCGCAGTGCTCCAAGATCCATCGTTGTAAAGCCCTGGCGGATTCCAAACAGATCCCTTCGATCGGTGCGAGAAAATTCAACTGAGTTGGCAACATGCTTCATAGGAAAACCAAGCTAGACTATCTTGTGTCACCAACTCCAGTTGGTGAGATGCTGCATGTTAGTTCTATTTTTGGAAGTTTGAGGGGGAAAACAAGATCCGATCGTTGAAGATGAAGCTCCTAGCAAACTCCACCCGGGAAAAAGAAAGAAACACACACACACATGTGCATGATGGGCTCTTCAAACAGGGCCCAGCTGGTGATGGAGGATGGTCTTGAAGGCTTCGGGCTCATCGAGCGCATCTAAGGAGGGAAAGCATGACATGTTGTTTCCCAATGCAGCAAACCCACAGCACGAGCATGGACCCGGCTGCTTGACATGGACACCAGGTACAATCCTGTGCATCAATTGGTGGATGCAAAGTTTTGGGTTTCGCTCCTGCAAACAGATACATCCGACCAATCTCCCAAGGTTTGTGTCATGAAATATCCAATGTATCAAGCTGACATTCCCTCTTTTCCTGCACAAGCCACTCGAATGGCCTTGGACTGATTGGCCAAGAACACTCTGGTTCCTGGGTAACAATTTTTTGTCAGCTCCGGTGGCAGCACACCTCGTACGAGGAAGACTTCTGTTTTCCATGTCAATACTCACAAAGCTTCTGGCTGAAGGCCGTGGCACCATCTCATAACATCTCGTTCCACCTCATAACATCTCGTAAGCAAGCTAATCGAAGTCCGGTGAGACCCCAAAAAAAGCCGGTGGAGGATGTATTTGTTAAGGGTCTCCTTCACTCAATGCAGTTCATGTCCAACAACCTGATGCTAGTCCTGATGGTTTTTTGGTGCATGCCACTTCAACATAAATTCTGGTTGACTCCTCTCTTCACAGGGGAGTCTTAATTTTGATCTGGCG